ATGAATAGTTGCATGATATTTATGATCCTTTTAATTAATTTATAGATAATGTTGCTGAAACCTCAGGAATTCCTATTGAGGACTACATTTTAGAGTTAAAAAAAATTGCAGCTTAATGATGAAAACGCTAATGAAAATGAATACACAAAAGCATTGCCAGATTGTGTGTTAAACATATTTTTTACACTGGTTAATGACCATTTGTCCTCTTTTTGGTAATTTAACATGTTGAGTGCCACATGAGTCACTTGTGAATAACAGGAACAAATACTACATAAAGCTTTAATATAAAAAAATTGTTTAAAATGGATTTTATTGAAATATAATAACAGTTGTTCTTTATAGCTACCACAGAATGTGGCAACTTGTTTAGCCAACTTTCTGACCATCTCTCTACCAAATTGTGCCACATTTTCTTCATAGCATAACTTTCTTTGAAGTTTGTACCATAGCTTGTTAATAGTTGCAATAACTGATAGATGGAACGTTTTCATCTTGGCAATTTGTGAGGTGACATTCAATTGACTCTTTTACGTTCTAAGCTAAAAAAAAAGGTTTCTGCACTGGACCAAGAACTGAATGCATGTAAATGTAAAAAATTTCTTAATTAACAATTTTAAAAGTACACTAAGCAGCATGCGTGGCCCGAAGGAAATTAATTTGTACCGCACTCATAAAACTTCTGTCTTAAGCAAGGGGAGAAGAAGAATGTGATTAGAGGCCATCATTATTGAATTTTTCACCACACTTCAAAATAAATAATTCGATGCTGCGATAGAGGGGCTATTTGGGAAACGAGACATCACTTCCCATACAAGCTCCAATAATCTCGTAAGAGTTGGTGGTCACGCACTTGTCATCGCAGAATGCAATTCCTTTGCAATTTACTAATTCTGGATTTTTCTCCTTCATCCAATTTCACAAGGTAAGACTGAGTTGATCATTTAGTTGCTTGGAAGCAGCTCAGAATACACAAAAGCTTTATAACATACCAAGTTGATAATCTGAATTTTTTTTCTTATACAATGCAGTATTCAATATGATTTCTGCTTATTCAACCCGCTTGGACTATCATCTCTTTTTATTAATATTATTGTAGACAATTTATTTTTAATCCTCATAATATTCACCTTATCCTCAAAGCAGAACGCTTTACATTTAAAGCTTGCCATGCATACAAGTTTGATACAGAAACAATGTACAGTTTCATAAAAGAATATGTGTTTTGTTCTTCTGGATAACGTGAAAAGGAATATTCACCAATTAGAATGTAATCACGTCTTCCAAGATGGCAAAAATTTAATATCATTTATAAAGTATATCATAGCTTGCAAAAGACTTGCATAAAAAAATTTCATTCTTTAAAAGCTAAGTCAACTGTATAGCTATTTTCTCTTTCCTTGAATAGGTAAAATTTTTAACATAACATCAGGCTTGAAAACCCACTGAAGTACTTTGGTTCACTGGTCACTTATATCAGGGTTGCCACTCAAACAGGAAAATGAAATTCCCTGACTTTTCCAGGTATGTTTCGAGAAAATTCCAGTCTATCCACGTAATGTACGTTGGCTGTGCTAAGAGGTCAAGTAATTATGGTACAGTCAAAAGTCGTTAATCCGGACTCATCGGGACTTCGGCGATTCCGGATTATCGATTTTTCCGGATTATAGATCATCAGTTTTAAATCTGGTAAAAGGCTCAAAATTAATAAAATTAAAAAAATATGAAACCTTAATTTACGAAAAAAGAACAATTATGATCTAAAGGTATCAAAATTTACAAAAAAAAGCTTAATATTTATTTGTTTACTTTATTAAACATTTTTTTCAATGTAAGTGTTTAAGCTGCTTCGTTTTTATGTGATAATACATTCACTTTAATTCTATAAACTACATAATTTCTTGTTCAGTTACAAAGTTCAGTCCTATAATTGTGCTTGTCGAGTATACCGACTAAGTTGTCAATCGAAATTTTTCGTTTTTCAATAACCTATGTCACTTTCTTCGCTATCGGAACGAATTATAAGACGAGGCGTTTGATTTAATCAATCAAGACGAGTACATCGAGAGAAATACTACATTGAGTAAGCAATTATAAGCCAAATAAATAAAAAATTGCCCTTAAGATAAGGATAGTGCTGACAAATCAACTTCCAATTCATGCACGCCGCCGCGTTAAAGATAAACAAAGGTATGGCCTTATCGATTTTTGCAGCAATTCCACTTTTTGTTTAATGGACTCCGAAAGATACTTTCGCTTTGTTTCCTTTACATATTAGTAAATATATCGGAAATTCTGTTTGAATAATGAAAGTTTCAAGCTTACTTTTAAAATTGCTCTAACAGTCTGCAAAAATAATAATCCGGATCCAATTCGAGATTAAGGAACAACGCAATCTGCAACATTAACTGAAATAGATAATAGATATTAGCTTAGCTTATCCCGTCCGTTAACATTAAACGAGCATTCGTAAAACGTATTTTTGCGCACGCGCAAATTCGCAGCGGTAAAGGTTACGCGCATGCGTCAAAGCGAAAGCAGAAAGTTTGTAGCTTTGAGATCCGGATTAGATCATCATATAATTTAACGACTTTGATGTATTACTTTTTACTGTGTAGCAATTCACTTAATTATTCAATAAATCCAGAGGACATTATTCTTAATTATTCTTGGTACACTTTGTTTGATAATTTTGTTTACTTTCCACTTAAGAAACTTACTAAAATTTAAGAGATATATACATTGGATAACAATTGTATGTTTTATTTAATTATTACTCATGATCATCACCAGTTCAACATGAGGCTAATCCGGTTCTTATAAATCACAACGCAATGCTAAAATTTAGGTTAGATTTTAGATAAATTTAATTTGTGTGAGGTGTCTTCTTAAAAAGGCACCTTAACACTTGAAAACACAAATATAATTATAACAGGAGTTATTTTCTCCACTGAAGATTGAGATTAGGATCTTCCCAATCTGGAATAAAATAAGGCTTTTTTTTGCAGACATTCTGCAGCTAAATGAAAGAAAGAAATCTATTTAATATTTTTTTACTAAATTGAGGTATTTTATATTTATTTTACAGCATACATAAGGAAAAAATATGTGCATTAAATTTCGTGATGTCATCATACTGCTAGAATTAATTTCAGGATTATGCCAGAGAAAATTTCCCGAAATTTGGAAATATTATTTACTAATGATAAATAAATTTAGAGGGAAGAAGCAACATTAAATGATATGAATAACATAAAAATAAAGATAAATTGAATTAGCTATTAGAATAAATAGAATAATCAACAATATTTTTAGTGAATATAGTTATATTACATGGTTAGCCTAGCTGACTGATTACTATTTTTTTTTATTTTACTGCAAAATGACAAGGTATTTATTAAAAAGAAAAGAAAAAAGAAAAAAAAAAAAAAAAAAAACTGTAAAATCCTAGTATACGGTACGGCCTTCGCACGATTTTGAAAATTGTCGCCAAGAACAAAATGACTCGTTTACTGCTCATCATCACGTCGCCAAATCCCGCTGTACCATACATGGAGATTATTCTAACCAAAGAACGTCTATGTAAAGAAAAGGTTCCATACATGTAAATGCTATTACGCGGCTAGAAAGTGGAGGGAAAATTCGTCAAGGGATTTGAAGAAACGTTTTATCAAACATTTTTTCGCAATAATTTTAAAAACGGATTTTCGTAGTTCCCCCCTCAAAATAATTAATCCATCAATTAATTTACTTGCACAAAAAAATATTTTCTTTTCCTTTAAAGAAATTTTAAACGATATTCATTTTATGAATTCTTGATAACGTGACCTTCGAACTTTGACACCGTTTTCGAGCTTTGCCGACAGATATATCGCGCATGCACAACTGTTTCCCTCTATGGTGGAACGGAGCCACGTCTGTTGCAGAGGTTTCTTTCTTTACAATACATATTTTTTGGTTCTAACCTTCATGTTCAGTATACGGTACCCAGTAATGCAGTAATGGTACCGTATACTGGGATTAAACCCTTTTTGTTTTATACGACAACAGGTACTTTCTTTAGTTCATGCACTGCACATGCGATTCCAGAGGTTACTGGAAACTTGATTTGCCTTTCTAAAAGACAATCAAATTGGAGATGCGAAAATAAGCTCTATGCCAGCTGCCCGAATGACACTCACATGATACACAATTCCCCAAAAAAGTTATCTCTTCTGACGGGATTCGTATGAAATTCCCCGACTTTTCCAGATTTTGACTAAAACACTTAAAATTCCCTGAATTTTTTGGTCAATTTACAAATTCCCTGATTTTTTCCAGGTAGCGTGGCAACCCTGTTATATGTTCTTGTCCTAGATAAGGTATTGCATAACCTTTATTTTAGAACATAGGTAAAGTAGAGGTTACCAAATCTTATTATACCAAATACACATGGTATGTTATTTTTAGTATTCTAAATGTGGATGATTTGTAAGATTAGTACTTTTTGTTAGAATTTACAGAAATTCTGGAAAAAATATGGGGGTGAAAAAGTTTCAGCTCAAAGATATTCAGAAAATTCATTATTCATAACTTAAGAGGCATTTGGCTTTAATTTAATTAAAATAATGTCAACATGTCTAAACAATTCACAAATCATCTCTTCAAATGCTGCTAAGCTAAATAGTTACATAGCCTGTAAAATGGTGATTAATTGATAAACCTGGTGACATACAGTATAAGAATTCTGAAGTAACAAAATGCTCTAATATATCTTTCCTCTCCCAGGGAAAAAAAGGTATTCTTGATCATGTAGTGAAGTTGAGTTATCCCAAAGTTAAACAAATTGTTATTCTTCATGTTAACACTAAAATCTTACAAAAATGTGCAAAAATAAAACACAAATTTAAAAAAAAAAAAAAAAAAAAAAAAAGAAACTTTAAGCACAATTAGAAGCTTTCATAAAAACTGCATAAAATCTGTTAAAAGTTGGTATATAAGTGAGTATTCAATTACAAAAATAAAAGGGCATTTTTCATATTTTATTTCACAAACAGTTCAATCTATTTAGAACCTCATTTTATGAGGATACATCTTATTTTGCAAGTAAAATAATGCTCTTAGATAATGGAACATTAATTTCTTTTCTGGGTGAGCTTTGATTACATCAATTATCTGTCGATCAACCTCAATTTGATCCTTCTTCCGCTGCTCTGTAACTGAATACTCCTGCAACATAGAAATATGTTTAATAAAATGTGAAAAGAATTACTCCATTAACAAACTATACAATATAAAATCTGTTTCAAACATATTATACAAAAGTCAATAAAATCTCAGCAAACTACACAATTTTTTATGCCTACCGTAAAATAAAAAAAGCATAATTTTTAGTATTTGAAAAATGTATTTTGGCCTTCAAATAAGAAAACCAAATAAACTTGATTTTGACTTTCCTAATCGAACAGTTATCAATAAATCACACTACTTTTAGATGATATCATTCAGACCGACTGACTGATGGCAATTTCTGATTTTCTTTAAAATGTTTTCATACATCAAAAAATTTACTTTTTACACCTTAATTTACATCATTTTGTCCCCTTCTCTAGACATCACAATATTTATCAAGATGCCAAGTTCTTTATGAAGGAACTGAGGCTCACTTAATATTCAAAACATAATTTTAAATATAATATTATAATACATAAAGGCATTTAAAACATTAATCTTCTAGAAAAAATTAGTGAATTAAATTTATATTTCACATACAATATAACAGCTTACTATTTAATGTTTTCAAAATAATTCTTTATAAAACTAAAGGATTTATCAAATGAAAAATAACCTATACTTCATTAATATTTATACGAAGCTGCTTTTCATGTTCTGAGAAGTTACTAAACTTACATCTGCAACTCAGTTCTCCAAGGTGAAAACATCATGGTCATTCAATATGTATACAAAAGAGATCATCATGATGCAGAACAAGTAGAACATGAATACATTTAACTTTTCAACGAGCACAGGTTTCACTGAACAAATCTCATATTTCCCACAACTGCCATGAGAAAAAGCTATTACTTCACCAAAATGCAGCTACTTAATACCTGGATTATGTACTTTAAATATTATCAACTCGGTTTCTTGGACACACCCCAAGATATGCATATATATGTGTTCTTAATTACAGAAAGATCATGATGCCGAATAAGGAGAATATAAATATATATATACAACTCTTCAAACTGCACCCAGCAAATCTCACATTTTCCTAAATCGCCCTACAAAAAAGGCATTTTTATGATTTTTAGTTTTTTGGACATACTCTAAAATGTACATAAACATTCTTTCTCAAAGATACTACAAATGATCTTCTCTGTCGAATATATATAGCCTTGCTACTCAGAAATTATTAATTATTACCTATTAAAGAAATTACAGAAATACATCACTCCTCTGAAGTAAAAATTAACACAGTAATTCAAAATCCTGACATCAAAAAAGGCAAATCAGTAAAACACATGGAATACTTCTTACATTCTCCTGCAAATCAGTTCTCCAAGGTGAAAACATCATGGCCATTTAGTATGAATAGTAAGAAATCATAATGATGCAGGATAAAGAGAACATCTTATATATATTTAAAACTTGCACACAGCAAATCTCCCATTCTCCAAATCTGACCATGAAAAAGGCATATTCATACACAAATACCTATGCTATTTTATACCTAGATTAAGAAGTTTAAATATTATTGGTTTAGTTTCCTACACATATTCCAACATGTACACTGCGCAAGAAAAGGGGGGCACAGTTGTTTATCTCCTGTTCTACTGGGCTAACTGACAAAATTGAGTTTTTCATGTCTCAAAAGTGCCACTTACGATATATATTAGATTTATATATAGCACTGTCCTAACATAGGTATTTTGACACAAAATTTGACTTTATCCAAAATAACATACCAATTTTTTTTTTATATTTCAATTCTACGACTCAAATTATGCCTAGATATTAAATTTTGTAAAATTTGGTGCAAAATTTACAAAGAAATTCAAAAATTTATCTTGGCACAATTTTTTTCAGTTTGTGGCAAGTTCGCTTGGCGAACCTCTTAATATGTGGCAACCAATTTTCCTTTCCCTTCCATTATACTGTCCAAATTACTTTAGCTGTGTCTAAGCCACATTTGATGTTTTATTGCTTTAAACAAATATGTCAAATTTTAAATCGCGCGATCATATATATTCAGGTATACCTTCGGATATTTTGAATAAAAAACTGTAAATTTTTGCAGGTATGATTAGAAATAAGTCTACTTTCAGAGGATGCTAAAAATTTAAAAAATAAATCATAAAAAAATGGACGAATTTTATTTGGAATGAACTTGAATTTCGAAATGCGAAAGGAAGAATCAAATAAAGTTTAATAAAAATATACCAAACTCAATTAACATTGAGGAGCTAAAATTTTGAGAGCTAATTTTTTAAAAACTATTTGTATGATTTCTACAGAATTCGGTAATTTGGATCGTAGAATCGAAAAATTGGTATGCTATTTCAGAAAAAGTCCGATTTTGTGCCAAAATGCCTATATTAGAATGTTATATATAAATCTAATACGTATCATAAATCGTGCTTTCGAGACATGAAACACGCAAGTTGAATTTAGTCAATCGGCCCAGTAGAACGAGAGATATAGAACTATCACCCCTTTTTCTCGCAGTGTACATATGCTTTTTAAAAAAAATACAAGGAACAATTTTATAAGCTTTGTATATAAGTATGTATATATTTAATGAGAAATTCCTAGAAATGGATCAGTTCTCTAAGGTGAAAATTATAATAGTAAATCAAAATGCTGACATCAACAAGAAAGAGAAATCAGTAACACACACTGGATACTTAACTTACACCACCTGCAACTGAGCTTTTCGAGGTCAGAACATCATGTTTTATCAATCATTCTTATCAAAAGTGCTAGAATCTTACTTTTAGCATTTTCTCATTAAAAAAAAAATTTACGGCTTGGAAATAGTTAATATCTTTTTTAATGTTTTCTAAAATTTAAAAAAAAAAAAAAAAAAAAAAAAAAATAAAAAAAAATAATAAAAAAAATAGTTACCCGAAAATAGAAATCATAAAAGAAAAATCAGCAATTTGTAATTAATAATCATACGAAGATTGCCGCTGTGTATGTTCTCAAAGATTATTCATCTGCAACTCAGTTCTCCAAGGTGAAACAACATGATGTTTTCTATATTCAGTACGTATATAGAAAGATCATCATGATACAGAACATGAGTATACTTAACCGTGCCCTTCGAGAGGGAGAAGGCCATGACACTTTATAAACATGGCGGAGCTTTCCATCCGATGTTATCATCGGAAAGTCATCTGGATTTTTAAATTTTCGTAGAAAATATAACTTTATCGTGTTGCTTAGTTAATTAAAATAGCTGAAAGAAAGGAGGCTTTATATACATTATTTTCTTTAGCCTTTTACAGATATTTTAATTAACTTTGTGCATAAATAAAACTGAGAAAAATCGAAGAACAAACGAACATGTTACAAAAATTTAAACGCTGATTGAAAATTGCCACTGCCATGATAAATTGGAAGGGGTTCTTAAGCTAATAATTAATATTTTACCTAGGCTCAAGTATTAATTTATTCATGTTTCAGAGAAAAATATATAACCATCAACTTCTATATCTCCAACATATGTAAATGAAATACTACATAATTAGCTAATAAATGTGAAAAAATTTTTCATACAAGAAACATACCTAAATCTTATAACAAAAAAGCCTTCCAACATTCATATTTGAAATTAGATAACCTAACAAACATACACTATTTTAAAATATTCAAAAATTTTTGTATTAAAATATTTGTAAAATGTTCGTTTGTTCTTCAATTCTCTCAATTATATTTATACACAAAGTTAATTCAAATATCTGCAAAAAGCTTAAAAAGCTAAAGAAAATAATGTATACTTAACTATTTTAATTAACTAAGCAACATAATAAAGTTATATTTTCAACGAAAATTAAAAAATACAGATGACTTTCCGACGATAACATTGGACGGAAAGCTCCGCCATATTTATAAAGTGTCACGGCCTTCTCCCTCTCAAAGGTCACGACTTAACCCTACAACTGGCGGCAGAGGTTCCACTAACAAAACTCACATTTCCCAAAGTTACCATAAAAAAAAAAAAAAAAAAAAAAAAAAAAATTGATTTTAATGACAAAATGCCTCTGCCACTTTATGTTCAGATTATGTACTTTTCTTGGACCTACTGCATAATGCATATATATATATATGCTTTCTAAAAAATACACCAGTTGATTTTCTCAGTTATATATATATGTATACACAACTCAGAAAAGCATTTGGTGCATTTTGAAGCCTGCCACTCAGAGGGCAAATGTTATTATTAATTAATAAAAAATATACATTCTCCACATAAAAAATTATCACATTAATTCAAAGCAAAATGACACATAACTAATACACATGGAATACTTCTTATATACCCCTGCAATTCAGTCCTCAAGGTGAAAACATCAAGGCTATTCAGTATGAATAGAAGAGATCATCACGATGCAGGAGACGAACATTATATATATATATATTTAATTCTTCAAATTGCACAAAGCAAATCTCACCTTTTCGAAAAGTGTCCTATAAAAATGGCACTTCCATTATTTAATGCCCAAGTACCTATTAGATGAAGGTAATTTCACATTCCAAAAGGTTACTAAACTTTCATCTGCAACTCAGTTCTCCAAGGTAAAAACATCATGTCCATTCAATACGTATAGAAAGATCACAATGATGCAGAACAAGAACATCAATACACTTAACCCTTCAACTCGCAGAGGTTCACACTAACAAACCTCATATCTCCCAAAGCTGTAATGAGGAAAAAAACTTTTTTCTTGATTTTAGACACAAAATGCATCTGCTATATTACTTTATCTGCAGCCCAGTTCTCCAAGGTGAAAACACAGTTATTCAGCACATATAAAAAGAGATCATCATGATGCAGAATAAGTAGAACATGAATATACTTAACCATCTAACCGGCAAAGAAAATATCATGATGCAGAGAAAGTAGAACATGAATATACTTAACCCTCCAACCGGCAGAGGTTCCACTAACAAAATACCCACTCCCAAAAGTGTGACATGAGAAAAAACTCTTTTTTTTTTATTTT